ATAAATTGCAGATTCCTTATATAATCAAACTGTAATTTCAGATTAATCTGAAAATTCCAGTTCAGTTCAGATTTTTACCAGTCTATGGTTCAGTTCAGATTTGGATTAGCATTTTTAAGATTAATAATCTGAACTGAAATTTTTAGTTCAGATACAGATTTGCATCTAATCTGAACTGAATTAAACTATTCAGAGCTTTAATGAGAATTGTATCTCATTATTAACAATTACTTGAACTATAATTTATATTTTCAAATTAATACTAGGTATAATAAAAATAGATATTATGTGATTATACTATAAATATTATTATATATTATTATATTATAATAGTATAACTATAATATTTATTATTTTGAACTCATCTAAAAAATGAGTAAGTGAAGAAGTATAGGATCTAACTTTATGAGAACTACTTACCAAAAATTTTTTATTCATTTTATAAAGTTTTTTAACAAGATTTTTATAATGCTTTACTTAGTATTGATTTATAATGAAATTTACTAATAGCATTATAAAGATTCAGTCTATATATTCTAATTTTAAATTTTTTTCTAATAATCCAATATTATATAGTTGCATCTATTTTAGTAATATAGTTAAAAAATAAATTTCTTTCATAATCTTATTTGATAGTTTTCATAATGAAAAAAAAATTTAATTATTGATAAATAAAATCATAATCAATATATTGATTACATAAAATTATACTTTTCAAATAATTTGTTTCTTTTAGCTTAAATATTTACTCTCTATAGATATTCAATTTAATAAGAAGTAATTTATCTTTTTAATACTTTGAACTTAGCTTTTTCAGTATGATAACATAAATATATTTATTTTATTATTCTTGTATTATTTTATTTATCTTTTTTCTTCACTAATTTTATTTTATAATTTTTAATAGCAGTATATTTTTCATAAAATTTGCTATATAATTTAATTATGAAAGATCTTACTAACATAAAATTATTCTTTTTTTTCTCAATAATATCTTCAATTTTTATTATAAGATATACTATTAAACTATCATAATAAAAAACATAACTAATATTAAATATATTCTAATTACCTAAAAAAAATATTATTACTTAATCTTTTAATATCAAAAACATTTTTCTATGCTATTATATTTAATAAAGCTTCTAATTCTATCTTGAATATTTTTTCTATATTAAACAATTACAATTTAAAAATGAAGATAAATTGTATATAATTAGTTTAAAAATAGAAAACAAGCTATTTATTATTGAAAATAAAGGTAAAATATATATTTAGTTAAAAAATAAAGGTCATTAATTCAATAAGTAAAAGAAAATAAGAGAGTATGAAAAACTAATACTATAATTATGTATGTAATATTATATATATATATAATAACTATAAATATGTGTGATAATTATAAATATATATAAAATAACATGTGATTTGATCACTCAAAAAAATTAAGTTACTAAGATAAATATAAAAAGGCTAACCTAGTATAGATTTTTGACAAGTTATATATATAATTTGTAATATCACAATATATATGCATATGTAATATATGGGAAGCAGTCAGTAGAAAAGGAGGAAATCTACTTTTTAGTCAAAAATTTTTTTATTGATTTATTCTGCTGATCATAATCATGTGAACAAAACTAGCTTAATAACTAAAATTACTCAAAATTTGTAGATTTTTCTCTTTTTTATTAACTATTCCTATATGATAAAATTATATAGCCAACTACAATTTGCCTAATAAATAAATTAATTATGTAAAATTTAAACATAAAATTTAATAATACTTAAACTTTTAGCATTTTTAAAATTAAAAATTATTTTTCTTTATATTAATATAAAGAAATTTATATTACAAAAATTTATATTATGTGATTTTAATCAGCATTATAGAATTTAAACGAATTAACATTTTTTGAATAAAGACCTAAAAAAAATTTTTAAATTCCTAAAATACATAGTGAAATGAAAAAACTAAAAACACGCTATTAAAGTAATAAACTATATGAGTTGAGAAAATGCTGATCATATGATTTATCATAATTTACAATTTTAAATTAAGAAAAGCATAATTTTCCTTTAAATTTCTAAAGCAAACTAGAAAAAATTAAACTAATTCTAATTTGTAAATCATACAATTACATTTATAAGGCTTTTTTTCAACAAAAAATTTGAAAATTTGAAACCTTTTATCTCATTATTTATTGTAAATATCAAAAATAGTGATTAAGTTTCTTAATAATCTATTTAAATCACAAACTAATTTCATTTCAAAATAAACAAATGATTTTAAAAATTATAAATTAATTCATATATCAATCGAAATTATACTACAAATATTTAAACATTTACAAAAACAAGGAGATAACTATTCACTTTTTTCTTGCTTTTTTGTAAATAAATATTGGTATAATTGTGTTGCTTCTTTATTATGAGAGAATCCTTTTAAACAGAAATCTGTTAATATTCTTATCTAAATACTTTTTTACCTATATTAAGAAGTTTTACATATAACAAAATAATACAACAAAATAATAAATTCAAGATGATAGAAATATATTTATCATATCTTGGTAAAGATGATTCTGATTTATTAAAATCATATAACCTTAAGCTTCCTACTTTTCAAAGAAGGATGCTTTTAAATTATCTCATATATCTAAAATATCTTAATTATAATGATTTAGAAAACACAATTAACTTATATTTGACCAATAGATTTTCTGATTTAAAAGAGAACAGAGTAAAAATTTTAAATTATAACAAAAATACTCTTCAAATTAATTTTACAGCAATCGATAAATCTAAAAATTCTTACAATAAAGATCAAGACCATAAATTATGAAATTTTGAATTTATAAAATTTTTCAAGCAAACAACCTAATCTCATAAGAGTTGAAATGAATTATGTTGATTCATTAATACTGATCTCTAAGAAAATCGAATATTTAGTAAAATTAATTTCATTAAATTGTGATTAAATCTGTTATTTGGATATTAGTTTAAACCCTACAGTATATTCTCTCGATATTATTCATTACATAGCTAATATGATTAAAGCTCAAAAATATTTAATAGAATTTAGTATATCTTTTGTAAAATTAAATTTTGATCCAATAATGTTTGCTTTATTATCTCAAAGGTCTAGTTTAAATTCTGTTAGATTTATTAACATTAATTTTACCGAGACATCCAACAATCTCTTAAAAGAATTTAATATTTTAAAAGATTTAAATTTGGTTCATTGTGATGAAGTTTGTAATGATATTAATGATATTTTAGAAATTGATTCAATATTTAAAATCAAAAAGGTAAGAAATAATAAATAAAATAATTATTTTTAAAAAATTTGTGGAATTTGATTTTGGGCGTTCTCAAACATCTTCCTCAATGCACCAGGATCAATTTAAATAAGGTTTTCAATCAATGTAGAGCGGCTTCTCTACATTCTTAAGTTTAAAATGAACCAAATTAATAAAAGATTAAAAGGACAATTACCAAGCGACAGGAACACCAATGAAAATTGATAAATTTTAGCCAATCAACGTAAAAGAGATTTCCATATTAATTGATAAATGTTACACGGAAATTTGATGTATGACGATGAATCATTGCGGGTCCAATGTTTTTCGAATATTAAAATTAAACAATGTAAATTTTTAAAATAAATAATCACACGCACTTATTAATAGCTCGCATGCTAAGTTTAATTTTTTAAATCATCGTATTTACAAAAATAGCTAGTTTCTTTCCCTAAAGCGGTGCTTCTTTGTTTACCAAATTTAAAGAATCAAAAGAATTAGTTATTCATTTAAGAATAGTAATGATTGACGTATTATTTTTTCTACGAATATTTTTCGATTAGAATGATTGAATCGATGTTAACATGTAAGTAAAGCTCCAAAAAAGCGTTGTTTTAATAATTTTAGGATTTATTTTATTAATTAAAGAAAAAATATAATTATCGAAAAAAGCTCCTTCTTTAAGAATCGATGTAGCGAACCATTATAAAAATGAATCTACGATCAAACAATTGTAGGAAGGCATATACATAAGTTTACATAGTTAAGGTTTCAGATTAACCCAATGTGAAACACAACGCATTAAATTTCTAAATTTAAAAATATAAATATATATATGTATATTTTTCTTGCCTGAAATTATTTTTTTTTTTCTTCTTCTTTTTCTTCTTTTGATATTTGAAAGCAAGAATATGAAAATTTTAGGCCTATTCTGTTCATTCTTTAAAAGAAAATCAAAACATAAAGAAAAGAAGTTCACAACACCTGCGCCAACTTTGCCAACAGAGTGCATGAAAAGAATATTTCAACATATTCATGATGATTCCACATCAAAATTATATCCTTCTTTATTGGTAAATAAATATTGGTGTAAAAACGTTGTGACATTTTTATGGAATCGACCATTCCAAATGTGCCCAAAACATAATCGATACAAGCTTATCAGAACGTTGTTAACGTTCTTTAGTTTAGAAGAGACCACATTAATCAATTCTAAATTAAAGGCTTATAACATTCTAATACCTGCGCGACCTAATCCCATATTTAATTATTCTTCCATGGTACAAGAAATTTCTTATATGGATTTAGAAACCTTTGTTAAATCATATTTAACAAAAATAACCACGGGATGTTATAATGATATCCAAAAAGTACAAATTCTTTTCATCACCATTTCATTATTTCAAATGTTCTTACGACAGGGTACCAACATTAAAATTCTCGTAATTGATAAAGAAATTTATACGATGGATTTACCAGACATTTCTATTTTTACTGAATCACACCCTTCAGGTTCCACTAACCTCTTTCAACTTAGAATCGATTATAATAGTATTAAGATTCGTAATATAATTCAATTTCTAAAATATATTTCAGATGTATGCAAGGACATTCAGATTTTAGAATTTAAATTCAACATAAATGCTTATAGTGATGAATTATTACAATCAATTTCCAATACCATAACTAAACAAAATAATTTACGAGAATTTAGTTTATCAAATACAAAACATATTGGAATCGAATCAGTGATGATGTCATTGCTCGTTCATGTTAATACGCTAACTTCAATTTCATTGGCTTTCCTTAATTTGGAACAAAAATCCATGGACATTCTTTTGAATCTTAAACAATTAAAAGAACTTAGGATATGGTTCTGTGAAGGATTAAATCATTACTCTTCGATTCACAGATTTGAACTCAACACGTTACATTTGGTGGAATTATCTTCCTCTGTGAAAACAAGACGGATTACACAATCCATCTTGCAATCAACAGGAAATTCTATTACACAATTAGGATTTAACATTCAATATATAGAAAATCTTGATATAACATTAACTTATTGTCCAAATGTTGAAGAAATAATTCTTTTTTATTTGTCTAATGATAAACAAAATAGAAAATTTACCACTAAAACTACAAATAGAATGGTAAAATCATGGAGAGAAAGGTTATCATCACTTACTTTTAAAGAAATCTCAATTAGAACTTTAATCGTTAACAAACTAGAATAACAGTTTTTTTTTCAAAAAGAAAAACTTTTAAACAAGTGCTTCCTTTATTATGAGCTTAATTTGGTACGATTGAGGTTTAATAATTCCGAGACGATATGGATCATGTTAATACGCATTTCAACGATTAAATTTCGATCTTGAATCGATTATATATAATTGTATAATTTAATTTATTACTTAAATATTTATTTTAACATTTAATAAATTCAAATAGTAAAAAAAAAAAAAAAATAAAAAAAAAAAAATATTAAATATTAAATAATAATGTACAGTATATAAATTATATCTATTTTTGTAATATTTGACGTCTAGATATTAAAATCATAAGTCTTGTGATTTGATTTTAATAGCGAATGACCCAATCTAATTTATTAAATGGTGAAAAAAAATATATATATATATATATATATTTTTTCCTCAAAAATAACATCTATCTTAAAGTGAATAATATAATATACACACATCTACGTATCATACCAACGCTATAACTCATCGGATTCATTGAGATTAACGACAACTTTATATTCATGTTGTAAATCTTTGATCACCTCCAATTCTTCATCATCAAATTCTTTCCTTCCACAGATACCAAAGTATTTTAAAATTCTCTTCTTTTTTACCAAATCGCGTATAATCTTAAAATGTCCAAGATGTAATTTCGAATAATCTAAGATCAACACGCTGACCGGTGCCACACATTCATCGCTCAATAATAAATCATCCAAATGTTTAACAGAGAATCCACATTTTAATTTCAAATACCAGCAGCTTGCTGGTAAATCTCTACCGTGAATATTTAATTCCTCGTATTCACTATTCTTTGGACTGATACTAATTATTAATTTTTCAAGAAATATTCCATGAAATAATTCACGTAACATCATCATTCCCGAGGACCCTTCAAAGTTGTTGTTGTTGATGAAATAATCACGGAGTTTCAACGTGGTGGCGTTTTGACAATAACGTTTCGTGATGTTGATGATTTCTGGTGTGATCAAATCCAAACACAATTCTCGACACGTTGTACCAAGTGGAGAAGCGAGGATAATGGTGGATATCTGGGAATATATCGGAGAACATCCAATGCTTAATGATTTCAAAATCAACCCGTTGTTATCAAAGAATGATGAAGAACCCAAACGACTCGCCAAAGGTAAACTTGAACTGTCTAAACCTATACAATGGGATATGGTAAGATCTTCTAACCTTACACAAGAAGTTAACGCGTGTAAATTGACATTATTAAAATTAACGTTCTGAAATTTCATTGAAGTCAAATAATTAGAATGTTGTGATAAAAGTACTGGCAGGATGACATCTGCACCGATTCTCGCACCAGATAGATGAAATGAATGGATTGACCTTTGAGCTCTAATTATGGAAATTAATAAATCTATTAAAGTTGGATTACTTTCAAAATAAGGTAAGGTAACGTTCAAATGATTTAATCCCGTACATAAAGAAGGAAAGGATTGTAAAAATTTATAAAGATTTTCGGAATTTGGATCATAATTTAATGTAAGTTTAGTGATTTGTGATAAACCAGGGTAAACCTTTGAAAATAAATCTATCTCGGGGAAAATGTCCATTTGCATAAAATGTTTATCAAACCTAAATGATTCTAGATGAAAAGAAGGATCGGTTATGTTTTTGGTTAAAAACAATTTACAAATTGATCTTGCTATCAAGGTAGTCAGTTTATAAGTGTTACGTCCAATGAATGATTTACGATAATGTTTTATTCCGGAATCAACCGAATGATATAAATCCATGTATGATAACTCTTTTAAATATATGGAGTAATTAATTAAACTACGAGACGAATCGGGAATTCTAATTCTATATTTTAACAGTTGTGAATTTAAGTAGGATCTTTCTTCTCTTGAAAGACACGTGATAAAAGTTCTAATAAGTTTATACCTAGAATCTTTTGGTAATTTGCTAAAAGGTCTTGACCATAATAAAGGAACAACATCCCTACACCATGCGCGACAAACCAAAAGGCAAGAAAATAGTCCTGAATATCCATCATCCTCCACATTCTTGAAGATTTGTGAAAGACATTTTGTTGGTAAGGATGATAATTCTGTGGTTGAACTAAATTCCATAGAAAATTCCCTTAACCTAGGTTTCTCCGAAGGTTCCTCGTTTGCAAACCCATGTTCATAATTCCCTAAATCATCAAAAATTTCCTGACCACGATCAATCTCGATAAAAGCTTTTGAGGATGCTTCTTTGGTGTTTAAATCTTTGTTCTTCAATAATTCAATTATCTGACGAAGCAAAAAGCAATAATTTGCCATGATGTTATTATTTATGATATTTGTTTGTTGTTTCGAACTTTTTAGCGCAAAAAAAAATGAATATTTTTTTTCAAAGAAAAAAAATAATCCCACCAGAGTGCGGAGTATGTTACATTTATACATCCTCATCCCATACAAAGTACAAGATTAGTATTGGTGAAATTTAAATGTTGATCACAAATCAAATGATAGTTCCCAACAGAACCAGATATAGTCGACTGAGCCAATTCCATATAAAGATTTTTTTGTTTAGTCGTGCAACTTTACACCAAACCTTTGCCCATTATGAGGAGGAGGTTTCTCGATACCCTGCATCACAGCGCTATTTTGGAATCAACATCATTTTCTATTCATTTTCTAATTCGTTTTCATTTTTTTCCGAGTTTCCTTAAATTATAAACCTTGAGTCAAATGATCGAAAATTATTTATATAATTTAAGCAAAGATCGCTGCTAAGGATCCCATGTGACCTAAAGATCCCAAGAAGGTTTATGTAAAAAAAAAAAAAAAAAAAAAAAACGGCACGGACAATTTATAAACGATCAATCTATGTACAAAATATTTAAAATTTCTCGAAAATAAACTTTTTTTTAGCGGCTTAGCGCATATACTAAATAGAAAACACCGATACTGAGGCTTTTGCTATGTGATAAGCCATCATTGTTCGGAATCTTTGGGTTGGGAAGTTCGTGTTGCGGGAAAACAACAATGTACGTTTTTAATTATAAAGGGCTTACGTCCTTAAGATAAATTGGAATCATTTAAAGGGTAGTTATTTTTATATGTATGCAGGTACGCATTATATAATAATCATAATGTTCCACCCGTCATTTAGGTGAATATGGTAACGAGCTTTGTGCGCTCGTTACAATCAATCAATCAATCAATCGATGATCAACAGGGATTTATTATGGTTCTACATGATTGTATAATACAATAAATGAAAAAAAAAAAATTACGACTTTCTATTTTTAATAAAAAAAACTCTATTAGTAATAAATTAATTTATGCAATGGGATAATAAAAACATTATATTCCTCCTGTAAATGACTCAATACTTTTGATTCACGCTCACTAGGCTCGGATTTTCCACCAATCCCTAAAGTTTTTAAAGTTCTTCTCCTCTTGGTCCATTCAACAATGATATTCAGATGAGCCACTTCTAGTTTAATATAATCTAAAATCAAAGTTCTTAATTTGCTCTTATCTCCCAACTCGTTTAATAAGTTTTTTAATTGATCTGGCGTAATCCCACATTCTAATCTTAGGTATTTAACGTTATCTGGTATGTATCTCCCTGAAAAGTTGATGACACCCAATTCTATTTTCGTTTCTCTATTAATTATCAGGTTTTCAAGGGACGGTAAACCTTTTAATAATCTATACATATGCGATTTGCATTTTGGTTGATAATCAAGTATTTTTAAAGTTGTAAGATTCGAACAATAATTTAATACCGTATCAACCGTTTCAGGAACCACGATATCTAACGCTAGTTCTCTTAATTCGTCATCTTTCCCTTTTGATACCTTCTTTGCGGAGACGGCCGATTTAATCATTAAAGAGGTTACATGTGATTCCTTACGAGAATTCCAGATAACTAATTTTCTTAAATTTTGTGATTTGGCATCCAATAAAATTTTAGTAATTTCCTTGGAAAGTCCCTGACAATTTTCCAACGAAAGTTCTTTTAATCGACCACATTTGACCAATGATTTCATGCCCGACGATGTAAAGTTCATCAAATTCAATCTGACTGATGTTAAGGTATCCGATTGTGTATCACCTAATGAGGATAAAATCAAATTTCCACCATTCCTAGCCCCTTTCATGCTAAAATTTCGCAAAGCTCGTTGGGAGTTGATCACTTTGGCTATTGATTCATTAACCAATGCTTCATTCTCATATTCGCATATTCGTACATTGAATTCCAATAGATCCTTACATGATTCCGGCAATTCTTTCAAAAAATCAAATATGTTACTCGTCTCATAATAATTCAATCCAAGTTTTGTGATCTGAGACAGATAATTCTGTTGTAATTGTTGTTGAAATATTTCGTCCGGGTTGGGTAATTTAGAATAATCACAATATTTATCAATTATTAAAGATTCAAGTACCGTACTTTTTTGGATGAATAGTAAAAATAAATTGTTGGCTATCAAGTGAATTTGGGGGTAAAGTGATTGAAGAGAAGGTGATCCCTTAGATGATCTCCTCATGATGGAAGATCTATGGTTGATGCTATTCATATGTAAATGACATAAATAATGGTGAATTGATTTTTCTAATTCTCTATAACATAATTCCCCTAATAAAGTTGCATAATTACATAAAGGAGGTTTGTTTGATATAATAAATTTGATTTTTTGTCGTTTCAATGATGTCTTTAATGATTTTTGAGTGATTGTATCGAAGCACGTTATAAAAGTTTCGATAAGTTTAACGGAATTGGCGGGGGATAAGGGATTTGAGGTGAACGGACGATTCCATAATATTTTAAGAGCATTTGCATGCCAATTTTTATTTACAAAAAGACAAGAGAATAACCCTTTAGATCCTTCCTTGTCTAAATATGAAAAGACTAATTGAAGGACCTTTGGTGAAACATGGGGGTGGGTTCTAGCGGGTTTGGTCTTTACACTTGCACTTTTTACATTATTTACGTTCCTTGACGTCTTGTCTGATAACTTTATCGCTGTCTTTTCTATTGACTTCTCTTTTGATAATGGACCTTTTCGACGAAAGAAACAAAATAGGTCAACCATGATAAAAAAAAATGACGAAAGGGTTCTTGCGCGTTAAAAAATGGAACGAAATAATATACGCCGCAGTATTTACAAATAAATGAAGTGCTTGTCTATTTATATTAAAGTTAAAACACAAAAAAAAAATACCATTTCACTCTAGATTACTTTTAGTAATTCATTACTTATTGATCGGGTCGTACAACTTATGGTACTTTATCATTTAAGTAATTATATATAATATATAATATACTGTATAATTTTTTTTTTTTAATACATACCAAGAATGTATGTGGTAATGAACAGTCAAATTAGTGATGTTTTGAATAATGAAGATGCTTTCAATAATGTATTTCCTATTTTCACGAACGGTTAATCTAGAGGGTTCTTTTGTATTGCCCTTCAAAGATAATCCAAAATCGGTCAGTAACTCCGATTGAATAATGATAATCCAAAAGTGTTCGAGAAATTTTTCATGAATATCATCAATCAATTAAATCAATTAACGAATTGATCTTTTTGTTTATGCCCATATAAAGTTACATATATAAAAAAAAAAAAACAAAATGGGGAGTGATAAAACCGTATTTAGGCAATTTTTTAACTCCTTTATAATTCCTTTTTCTTCTTTTTCTTTCTTTTCCTTTTTTTTTTTTTTTTAAAAAAAAAAAAAATGAAAGGACTTCATTTGAGGCAAGCACGATAGGATCTCTACCTCGAAAAAAAAAAAATTCCTATAGAAGAAGAATGCAACTTTATTTTAAAAAAAGGAAAAATAAAAACATTAATGCACGTGATCAATTAATTCATGTTCTACAAATGGGCCAATAAAAATACACGATATCAAGTCGTAGTTACAAATTGATTTTCAGCGTTGGAGTTCGTTGTTTTAGACTTCCCCGAATAATGAAATACAATGAGAAGACATTTACAAGTAAGTAACCTCTTTTACTTAGGTAGGTTGGACAGGACGAGTTTCAGATGCAAATTATACTTAAATATTTCCACTCCCAGTTAATCTTTAGGTTAGTAAACATCATAATAAATGACAATATTAATATGGTTAGTGTTTAATAACTAATAACTTCTGTCGCCAAGGAATTTATTATTTATTTATTTATTTATTTTTAAAAAAAAAATTACAATTATTAGTTAAGATCTCTAATAATCAGTTGCTCCATCAATAAAGGATATTTATTATCAATCAGTAATTGTATTTTAATACATCATCTGGCCGCTATCAAACTCGAGATCGTTACCCGGCGCGAAATTTACGCGTACGAGAGATTCGGAAGGATTTATCACTGAATAACCTCGGTCAGCATCCACCAATTATATCCTCCAAATTCACAATTCTTTCATATAAATCATCTGATACATCATTCCGCAATGAAACCTGTTAAACATTCTCGTTTCTTTACGTTAGAAACTTTGATGGAAGTCTCAATACTCCAATTATTTTGTCTTAAAACAGATGGGACTCCGTAGATTTAATATGAGCCTAATCTTATGAAGCAGCTCATTATATGCATGTTATATAATAAACGAAAGTAAGTTCCAAAACGATTCGAATGGCGATGATACAAAGTTATTCAGCCGAGATGGTATCTCTGAGCTCTAATTGGATCCTAACGCGCCAAAGTATGCAGATAATCAACGTTTTCTTTAATAATAAAGATAAGTTCATATGAAAATGTTAATATATTTACTTTAAAATAATGATCTGCACAAAAGTTTCCGGATAATCAAACGCGAATGACTTTGAAGTTGTTGTAGAACGTAACATTGGTTTCATTATAGAAGAAGCTCGTTGTGTCAATTTTTTTATTCTTTTCGTATGCATGTAATAAACATTGTAATTGTGTCATTGTCTCCTCGTAAAGCATAAATACTCGTTCACGCTCACGTTGAAACCTTTTGAAATTATTTGCAAAAAAGTTGGGACAATAATATAATTCCTTGAGATATTGTTTTATAATTTTCATGTGGTTGGCCAACACATTTTAATGCCTTTGGAAAGAAAAAAAATTTCTGTCGAATTTCACGTTTCAGAAAAGTACGTATTAGTACTCATTTCGATGCCCCAAATTAAATGGGTAATATTAAGTACAGACAAACGCAATGCAGTGTTTAACCATATTAAATACAACAATTATTAGGTTGCTATAAATAATAAAATGACAATTATAGATATATTTTTTTCGGTATAACCAACTATTAATAGAAATACTACTTATTTAAATCCCGTGATCATCCATCCTCGTTTCTTCCTTAATAATCACCCTAGGCATATCAACTTTAGAGAATGTTTTTTAAATTATTAGACAGGTATTTTCTTGCTGCGGACTGCGGTGCAAATTGGAAAAGTGTGATTTACACACCAAATTTGGTCTCTCCATTTAATTTAATTTTCAATTTCATTTTCAATTATTTGGGGGGGGGGGGGGGGGTGTGGTACGTTGCATGAATAAAGTCCAAATTCGCTGGAAAAAAAAAAAAAAGGTAATGGAATTCATGGATTAAACGCAATCGATTTTAACAATAGGACGAAGGTAATAATTTTATTTAGGTAAGGTAATTCCAAAAGTGAAACGATTTGTACATTTTAATTCGTAAACTTTTTTGATTAACTTCATTGCACAATAAAAAGATTGACATTGATTATAAATGCGCCAAAACATGCAGAATTACATTTTTTTTTTTTTTCTTTTGTTTCAGCTTGTATTTCTCTCTCACGTTAAACTAGTAATGTTAAAATTATGTTCACAGTTTCTAATAGATCTTTTCAAAGTCCAATCTCAAGCTGAACAACAAATAATAAATGAGAAAGTCAAAGTTGAACAAATTCCAAGACAAATAATAATAGCACAAGACGCTCATCCTTTATTACCAACGGAATGTATGCAACAAATATTTAAATATGTCAATGTTCAAGAAAATGGACTTTATTCCTGTCTTTTCGTTAATAAATATTGGTGTAAAAATGTACTTCCATTACTTTGGGCTTCCCCTTTTCGAAATTCATATATTATAGGTTGTTGGGCAACCGTAAATTCATATTCAAAGAGCACCCTATCTAAAGAGGCCCTTAGGCAACTTAATAAATACAAATTTATAGAAACTTGTATTTCTTGCTTGGATAATCAAGAATTTTCTTACCTAAATTCTTTATTTCAAAATTACTATTCAATTAACCTCTCATCCGGAAAGAAACCTTTAATTAATTATCCTAGTTTTTTACAAGAACTTTTTTATGACGACTTTGAGAGTACAATTCATTCATATTTAATGAACAAATTTGGAGTTAAGTATAAAGAACAACAAGTTCTTGTCATTGCAACTTATTTAATGAAATTATTTCTTTCTGAATCAACGAATCTTCGAATAATAAACTTTAATAGACATCAAAATTTTCATAAATTAGATATGCCCAATTTATTACTAGGAAAAAAATCAACAAAAAATTCCTTCTTAACGTTAGATAGGTTGGTCAAATTTCAAATTAATCATAATCGTTCCATACTTACGCAAAGTACAATTAATCTATTAAAATTAATCTCAATTAGTTGCAAGAATATTCATTATTTGGATTTTAAATTTAAACATCATGAATATAATGATATCATCTTACTATTAATTATAGAAATTATTAAATCACAAAAACATATTTCGGAATTTAATATCTCCAATCTTAAAAATAATTTCGAGATCATTTTATCCAACTTATTATTATTACACAAGAATACTTTGGTTTCGATGAGGTTGGAAGGTGTATATATTTCTGAAAATTCTGTAGATATGCTGAAACAATTTGGAAATATTAGAAAGATTAAATTACTTCACTGTAATAAACTTACTAGTGAAGTTTTACCTGATTATTCAGAATATATCGCAAAGTTAAAATATTTATATTATTATAATAAAAAATAATTGCAATTCCAAAAAATGTGATATTTTATATTCTTTTTCTTGTTTCTCTATATTATAACAATGCATTATTAAATAAAATATAAGAATAAAAGAACAAATTATTAATATTAAATCAAAAATTAATATAAACATTGATTTATGAAATTTCAATCTAATATATATAAAAAACAAATCTTTTTTAATTAAAATTTGTTTATCAAAACTATTCTAATTATTTGAATTTTAAAATCATTAAAATTATATAAATAGATAAACTATAATCACTCTTCTAGTTTTAAAATTATATAATTATATAGTTTTTAAGAAAAATCATAAACTCTTTATATTATAATAAATATTTTTATATGTAATCATTATATTTATATATTACAGTATATATATTATATATTTAAATTTTTTTTAATAAATTAATAATAAAATATTATATTTAAGTAATAATATATAGCTAAAAAATTTTTATAAAAAACTATTATATTATATTATATGTTTATTTAAAAAATTATTATTTTATTTGGTTTATAATAAAAATAATTTAATATACTTTAATCATAATATTAGTTTAATTATAAATTTTATAATTTAAATATTACTAGGAAACAGGAATTGTTATTAAATTTAAAACAACCCATTAGTATTTGTTTTTATCTAGACTTTGTGTAATTTCAAAAGCCAATCAGCATTGACTCAATTATTGAGTGAATAAACAGATAGATATATGTGTAATCTTAAACTTATATATATACAGTCAACTCTTGTTATAACGAACTCTATATCCTAGACTCAACTTCAATATGAGGCTATAGTGAAGATTTTAAGAGATTTGATTGGCCTATTCGCTATAACAAGAGTATTTTTATTATATTTATTCAAAAAATTCATTATATCAAGAGTTTACTATATTAAGAGTTAACTGTATAGTTTTTCACTTCATTCTGAACTAATTATAATATTCTAAAACTTATTTTTTATTAATTTATAATAATATTATATAAAAATAATAAATTATAGAAATCAAAATAAAAAGCAAATAATATTTTCTAATAAAATTATTACTAAATATTTTATATAAAAAATTATTTTATAAAATTAAATATTTAATTTTTATAAATTATAATTAAATATTTTATAAAATCTATATTTAAATATATTTTTTAAATTAAAAATTATAATATAATTTTTTATTATAAATTTTAATTAAATTTTTAATGATATTAATTAGTTTAAAATGAAGTAAAGAACTATATATATATAGGTTTAAAATTATATAAAATATCTCATTATTTACTCGTTTAATAATTGAATCAATACTAATTGACTTTTGCAATTATACAAAAGTTTAAATAAAATATCAGATTTAATAATGATTTCTGTTTCTCTAGTATTATATAAATAATATCTTAAATATATAAAATTTAGTTATTATTTACTTATTTATTGTCTAAAGTGTAAATATAAAATATTATAGTTAGATCTAAAAGTATATATATAGTTTCTGTTTTTATACATAATTTATCAAATAATTATTATATTATAGTTGTCAAATTTTAATTATTTGAATACTTTAGACATTCTAACAGTTTCTGTTACCTAATTTACTATAAATTTTTGGTTTTTAATTTTTAAAATTAATTATATATACTGTATATATATTTTATTTTTATTTTTTAATTATATAAAAAAAAATAAAAATTAAAATAATAAAAATTATATAAATGATATATATTTTCTATATTTTTATATTTATATATATTTTTTTTATAATATAGATAAGAAATTTATTAAAAAAATTAGATTTTAAATTTTTTTTGAATTAATTATATTAAAATATAATAATTAAATCTTATTTAGTTAAAAATTTCTCAAAATCTGATTTTTCTTATAATATTTTTATATCATTTTATATAGAAGGTTTATTATTAAATTAAGTAATAAACATAATAAATTATATAATATATAACATAATTTTAATAGTAAACCCTTTTATATCTTAATTATTTTATGTATTAAATTTTATATAATAGATATAATTTTTAACTAATAAAGTATATATAAATATAATAAAATAATTCAATTTAATTTATTAAAATATTTATATAATATTAAATATTAATATAAAATAAGATTCGTTTATTATTTAATAAATAATTATTATATTTTTAATTATATAAATTAAATAATTTATAAATAACTTAAAAATCTGACTATAATATATATATAAATAATTATATTTTTTTATAAGTATTTATTTTTACAAATTTAATTATAATATATTTAAATAAATTTTATATAAATTTTTTAAGTTTACATAAGTTGTATATATTTAGATTACTTAATAAATATATTTATTATTAGTATCACCTCTTTCTGCTTTTAATTTTTATTATTTATTTTAGAAATTTAGAATTTTTCAGTGAAAATTATTATTTGTCATACTTTATTCATTATATAGCTAATTTCTTAATTTTTTAATGCTAATGAAAAATAATATTAATAGTAATCATATTATATAATCTGTATATATATATTTATATATAAATAAAAATTGCCTTTTTATAAATTATAATAATTATTACTCATATATTTTAATATATATACCATTTTATTATATAATTAAATTTTTTAATAATTAAATAATTTCTAATTATAATTAATTAACATATAAATTAAAAAAAAAAAAACATTATAGATTTTTCTATAAAAATTTATTAATAATATAAATAATTTTTATATTTCTTTTTAATTTTAAATTCTTTTTAATAAAAATTTTTTTATATAAAATTTTTACAATAAAAAGGGTAAAATAGCTGAAAAAAATCAATTTTACTTTATATGCTAAATATGATTTTTAGGTCAAAATATATTTAGATTTAATATTAATTCAATTTTTATTTTTCTAGCTATTTTTTCTTTTATATTATAAAGATTCTATATATATCATTATTTAATTTTTTTATATAATAATAATAAGTTTTTAAATATTTATTATATAATGATTATTAAATAATAATTTAATATAAAAAGTATTATATTAATATTAAATTAAATTTAAATTATTTTATAAAATTATAAAATTTATATTTAAAATATAGTAAAAAGTTTTTATTTTTAAATATAAAATTATTAAACTCATAAAAATAATTATAATTATATAAATATTTTTAAAATTTTAAATATATTAAATATAATAATAAATAATATTGTTAAATGATAAGAAAAATGTAGATTAATATTTTTTTTTTTTAATCTAAAAAAATTATCTATTTTAAATAATTATGATAAACAGTATTTTATTTAATTATTTAAAAAATAATATATAAAAATCAGTTAATAAAATAACTAAAAAATTTAATTAATTAAAATTAAAATTTCAAGTTTTATCATAACTTTTATGAATTAAGATATCTTAAACAAATTAAAATTAAAAATTTATAAATTATTTTAAGTATTTTAATTAATCTAAAAAAGAAAATAAGAAAAGAAATTTTTATTTTTTTTTTTCAAGTTACAGTACTAAGTATTAAGAAACTATATAGTAATAATACTATTAAGGTATAAATTTTGACTCATCTTAAGAATTCTCTAAATTATGATTAGACATATTAGTTCTAACTAAAATCTATCCTGTTAATACTAGTCTGAAGATGTCACCTAGGTTGACATTCTTAAGAGCTAGCCCTTAGAGTCCCTAGATTTTAAAACCAATATCAAATTTGGATAGAGAGATTACTTCAGCTATAGGTACTTTTATCAGATTTTTCCTGTGCTTATCAATACCATATCTAAATAACTATTACCTCTGCCTAGTATCAGGATATTTTTTACATATAATCAGGAAGGCTTAGATATTATTATCTTTATAGAACTTCAGAAAAATAGGTAACTATTATACCTATATTATCAAATTCACCTAAGAATTGAACTCAACCTCTACACTTAATGATAGCTTGATTAGATAGTGCTGTAGCAGTATAATGTAATTTATTCTCATTATAGCCATCTGTAAGTAATATCTAAACTATTAATTACTGATTAACCACTTTCTTACTTATGTAAGAACCCTTGAATTTGAAGACGTAAGACAGTACCTATTACAGACTTATCAGTAAAGGCTAAGTTTTTGTTGATTTCTAACTTCATTTGCATTTACTTATTCTTCAAAATTAGTATTTAAGTATGATTAATATTGATCAATAGATTAATCAAACAGTTTCTAATGCATATTAATATATATGTTCATATATTTAGTTATATATGAAATTTTTATGAAAATTATCTAGTTTTATACTTTGGCTGAGATCTGAACCTGTGGTTATTGTAGTGTAATCCACAATATGAGCTCAGTTGTTACTAACTGAATTAAAAATGCTAATTCTAATAGATAGAAAAAAAAATAAGAAAATATAATTTAAAGTTATAAATCTATATAGTATCTTTTAATTTTACTATTAAATAAAGTAAAATTTTTTAAAAAATATGATATTAATTATTTATTATCTACAATTAAATATTGTAATTATTAAAAAGAATATTAATGTAAAATTGTATTTAAAAGATTATAAGATTATTTTTATCATTTTATAAGTTTTTTAATAAGTAAAATATTTATTTTTTTTAGAATAATAATATATATATATATAGAGTAAAAGTTATGATAAAAATAAAAATATAATTAATTAATAAGTATTTTTTTTATAGTTAGTCTATAGTTTGAATTTATATTTAATTAAATATATATAAATTATTTAAAAAGAAAACTTTAAATATAATTTAATATCAAAATTTATTAAAGAAATTAATTTTAGTATTACAAAAAAATAATTAAATATTAATTTAATATATTAAAATATTAGTTATTAGTATACTAAAAGAATACTTATTATTATCAAAAATAAAATATCTGATTAAATATTAATTAGTAACAATTATTTCTAATCATTAGTTTTATTTACTTAATTTATTATAATAGTTAAAGTTATGTAATGTAAAGAATATTTTAAATA